TATTATGAATTGTTATTGTCTTTATATGATATATGTTTATTTGGGGGGGGGAATCCCCAAAAGAGGAATTTATGGGTAAAAGGCTTTTGATACACTTTGCCAGACTAATCTCTAAAAAGAATATGGTAATCTGCTCACCTGTGTATAATGTATAAGAGTGCTGGTTTCCACACAAAGGGAAAGGTTATTGTTGTTACCACAAGTATTAGCCGCATCATGACTGTTAATCCTACTCATGACTCAGGGTGCAGTTTCTCAGTTTAGCATCCCTGAAGTCAGAGTGCATCTAACTATCCTTGTCAACCAGGTGACTATCGTGACATGGTTGTACAAAACCTTCTGTTGACAACTGCTAAAATCAAGAAAATTTGAGTTCATCTGGTAGATAAGAAACAAGGCAAACATTTAAAAATTGTGAGCTAAGTGCAAAGTGAGCAATGTGGAAAATAAAAAATGCCGTTTTCTGAGAACATCTCAAATTGGGTCTCAAAAATGTACCTGAAGGACAGAGGTTTCAGGGCTGCATTTAGAGGACTGGAGAAGACAGAGAGGGAGAGAATAGGTCCTTCTCTCCATCTCTACCTAATTCTATCTTATTTCTACTTATTTATTTTTGCTGTGCACATAGCTAAGAAAGATGATAATGGCCATAGTGCAGTAGCTTAGGAGCCAAGATGGCATTCATGGACCTTTTGGCTGTTTTATGTATCATTCTCTCTGAATGCAATACTTCCTGCAACCCCCCTCCTCCTGGACCTCCTCCCATAAAAACACCCTGTCTTCTTATGCAGAAATCCTCTACCTTTTACCTAAATATGGCATGCTCTGTCTTTAGGCCTCCATTTAATCATCATTTTCAGCTGAAAGACTTTTCTGATACACCAACACTGGTTAAGTATCACTCCTGTGTTTTCCGTCATACCTAGTCCATACCCTTGCCTCCCTACTTATTACACAGTGTTTTACTGCTTACTGCCTTGATGTCTCTGCCATTAAACTGAAAGCTTCTAGAAGTGTGTTCTCTATTAGTCTCCTCTGAACTCCAGGTCTAGCACCATGACTGGCACATGGCAGATACCTAAGAGATATCATGTGAGTGAATTACAGGTAGCCAGCCCTGGAATGTAACCTGTGGTTACTGGAGTCATTTTAAGTTATAGTTATAAGGGTACCAATGTGAGTCCATTGTCTTGGGAAGATCCAATGCTCTACTAGTTTTCACTAAGTGTTGGAGTATAGATTATATACTTCTGATAGCACACAGAAGTATAAAATTCCTTTTATTTCCAACTTATTTTGAGAGCTTATTAGAGCAAGCTGTCTGTGACCCCTATTAAGCTGTCTGTTGAAACATGTGCATGAATCTGGGCACATTGTATCTGAGAGCCCATTTCCAGCTGTTAGCACAGTAAGAGCTGAAACCAGAAGCTGAAAATGAGTGATTCCTCGCTCACTAGCATTTAGGTTCCTTTCAATTTACTCTTAAATAAAATGCTGTTCCTTTACCTTTTTTTCCCCCCCTCTTAGGATACTCAAGCTATTTGTATGCTAACTACATTTTTTTCTAAGTTGTTAGTGAAAGTACCGAACCAGTCACTTTCTCTAGTGGAGTGAAACTCTTGTCGCTTGAGATTAGAGTGAGGTGTTAAGTAAAAGATGTCAGATGGTTTGAGTTCAGACTCACTCCAGACTGTCTCTCTAAACATGGTACTTGAGTTCAGGATAATCGATCGAGTTCTGCACTAAACATAAGGAATGAATGTGCTCTTGTCTAGACAAAATCTAGACTTGTACTCATAGTAATCAGGGTAGAAAACTGGCTTATGTTCTGTGGACTGTGTAATTCTCCAGGATACATTTAAAAATGGTTGTGTTGAAGCAGTTAAATATGACAGATGAAGAAAGGAAAGGAAGTCACAGTGATGCCTGAATTCGACCCAAGTTTCTGTGTCCTATTTATTCTACTTCTTGACTATTTGTCTGTAAACTTCTGTATATGTATTTTTTTTCCCCCACACTAGCCAATGTTGATGCACAGCATTAACTTTGTCATGTCCATGCATCAATGGCCTCTTAGGAAAATACAGTCCAAAGTGGGAAATCTGTCACTTCAAAGAAGGCTGTAGTGCTTAGATACAGCCAGGAAATTAACCATGTCAGCATGATAATATTTCTTTAAAAGCCCCAAACCCTTTTTTCTATGTTCATAGTTATTAATTTCTGCTATAAACTCGTTTCTATCATGAGGATTTTTTCTTTTTGGTCTAATCCCAAGAAAATAGAGCTGGTCCCTGCCTGACTGCTCTACTGGGAAGGAAGTTGTTGAATGAGATGCAGAAAAGGGTCCGTGAAAGAGAGGAGATACCAGTCCTGTCCCCTCAGTACTGCTACCACTCTCCTGTTGCTATAAAACTTATTCTGTAAAACATGTGTGCCCAGGGGGCCCACTCTTATCACAGTGTCACAGTGGGAAAAAAACTCTACTATAACCCATCATGATCTTTTCAAATGCTTTTGACATAATCTTGATGTACTTATCAAGGTAATTTTATTAGCTTAAATTGCCTTTTGTGTCAATCAACTAATCCTCCATTAAACCTGAGGAATAGGCAGACATTTATTTCAATATTTGAGGTTCCCAGAAGTTGAAAGATACATGGAATCTTTGGAGAGGATTCTCAGCAAAGAATATGAATGAAATTAAGTAAACTTTGGGAAAATAAGTAAAAGTATTGGAGGAATAGTATTTAGTCTAGAAAAGAGCAGGGTCAAGGATGCATTCACATTTCAGGAATATGATCATTTATAACATAGAGGATAGTGATGAGTCGGATCGACTCTACTGTAAGGAGCACAGGAGAAAAAAAGATTAAATGATAGGATAATAGATTTGGCTTATATGGAATAAAGATTTTCTTTACTCTTGAAGACTGATGAATCAAGAAACAAATTTAAAAAGGCTGTATAGGGCAGGCCTGGTGGCGCACTCGGTAGAGTGTGGTGCTTGGGAGCGCGGTGGCGCTCCCGCCGAGGGTTCGGATCCCATATAGAGACCGGTCCGCTCACTGGTTGAGCGTGGTGCGGACGCGACACCAAGGGTTGCGATCCCGTTGCCGGTCGCGGTACGGGTGCGACACCGAGGGTTGCGATCCCGTTGCCGGTCACGAAAAAAGACAAAAAGGAAAAAAATTAAAAATAAATAAATAAATAAAAAGGCTGTATAATTTATTTTGGAGAACCTTAAAAATAGGATAGATTCTTCTCTACCTGGGAATAGCTGAGAGGACCAAAAGGAACATACCATGTAATTTTTTAAAAAGAAAATTTTCTTTTAAGATTGTAGATTAAAAGAGTTACAATTGAAAAAAAAAATTGTCCATATCCATAGGCAATAAAAGAAACAACTCATATGAATAACAATTAGGCTTGAATCTCATTTTGAAACTACCACCTAATCTTATTTTGTGAGAGAAGATTGTGAGTTCTTAGGTAATTGCTTTCTTGATCTGCTTTACGTTCAATAATTCTCTCTCACTGTTTTTAATTGTGTTAAAGTGTGTTTATTAAAGTACTAATGAGACTAAAGCCATACTGATTAAAAACAGAATTATTCATTTGAACTTTTTGATATTATAAAATCAAAAGTAGATTCTATTATTGGAAGATGGATCCTATACCTCTAATAAGTTGTCTGCTGTGTATCTAGAGTTTTATTTTGTTTTTACAAGACTTTATTCTAGGTCTGTTGAAGTCACAAAGATTTTATGAAACAAAACTGTTTTTTTTTTTTTTAACCATAAAAGCAATTTATCCGAAGAGCTCTAGGAGGCAGGGGACAGCTTTCCTAGTGATTTTTAAATAAATACGCTGCTGGCTGGGCCATGCATACTAAGAGTAGGTTTTATTTATCGTTACCCTTTATAGCTTTTTAGAATGTTTTGGATGGAGGTTTTTTCCTCCTCTGCTCCTCCTTTCCTACTCATTGACCTTTGTATTGTAGCCCCTCTTCCTTTTCTTTGGAACTGCCTTTTAAATACATCTTTCAAATGCCATTTTCTGCCTGTGTCTTAGCTGGTTTCATGTGCCTATTCTCTTTTTATTTGCTGTCCATTTTCATTTGCAGGTTTGTCTTATTTTTTAAATAGGTCACTGTATTTAAATTTATTAGTCCATTTTTTCCTGCCTTTTCTTTGGGAGATAATTGGAATTACATCCCAATCACCAATATTTTGACTGATACCTTGAGCGGATCAACAGTTTCCCTCTTAGTGTACTCTGGCCCATACCTGTAGCAGGGTCAGTCCACGCCCCAGTAGCTCTGCTTCTGGCTGCCATCTCCAGCTTCACTGTCACTGCCTGGGTTCAGGCCCCCTCACTGATCGGAACTATTGCCGTTCTTCCTGCTCTACGAGGGTACTTCAAAAGCTCATGGAAAAATAAAACTGAAAGATAGTACACATCTTTCCATGAACTTTTTGGAGTACCCTTGTATCTCTCTGCCTCTCATCAGCTCCTTCCTGCCTGTTCCTCATGCTTAGGAGGCATGTCTGCATTGTCCCTCTTTGCTTAAAATCCTTCACTACCAGTCCCTTGTCCATGAGATGCAATCCAAACCCCTTAACATGCATAGAAGTTCTTGCATAAGCTGATGGTTCCCATCTGCCTAGCCAGCCTCCTGCTTCCCCAGCACCCCTCGTCCCTCCCAGAGCTCATTACTCTAGCCACATCAAACTCCACATTCTGGGTGCAGGGGACAGGCCGAGCAAAGGCATGGAGCTGGAAAACATAGTGATGCTGAAGGAATGGAGTGATAGAAAGTGGCCCAGTTGGTGCTGAGCACATTTGTGGCCATGGGTTGGTGCCAGAGCCCTCGTGACCAGCGAAGGAAGTGTGATGAGGGGTCATTGAGCCCTTCTCTCTAAGGGGAGAGGAAGGCTGGTTTTTGCCATTCCCCACACCCGCACTCTGATACCCTCCACTCTTTCTCTCCCCAACTTCAGCCTGCGATGGTGATCACTGGGGGCCCCACTGCAGCAGCCGGTGCCAGTGCAAAAACAGGGCTCTGTGCAACCCCATCACGGGGGCTTGCCACTGCGCTGCAGGCTTCCGGGGTTGGCGCTGCGAGGACCGTTGCGAGCAGGGCACCTATGGTAATGACTGTCACCAGCGGTGCCAGTGCCAGAACGGTGCCACCTGCGACTACGTCACGGGAGAATGCCGCTGCCCACCGGGATACACCGGAGCCTTGTAAGTGATGTGCTGTGAGTAGTGTGGCAGAGCCCACCCGCCCTGTCCATACATGCTGCTGCCGCCATCATATTCCTCCCTCATCCCTCTGTTTCTGTTGCTGCCCGAAGCGTTACTGACAGGGCTAGATTCCAGATATAGATATGGAGATCCACAGCGACAGCCGCTAGGTGCTCCTGCTGTTTGGCTCTCGAACGTCAGCCGTCAGCGCTCTGACAGGATCTAAGGGCCAGCTTCCATGCTCTTGCCTTTTGGTGGGGCAAAGATAGAGAGGGTCAGGATGTTATGTTGAATGGCAGTATTTGGAGATTGTTGGGGGCAGATTTCAGGTTCTTCATTGAATCTCCTGCAATTACATTCATTTTACACTTTTGGCTGTTAATGGTCCATGTTGTTCTGCTGTTTGTGACAATTAATTAGCTGCATAAAGCTGGGGTAGGGGGGTCAGTGCCTTAGAAAAGAGGAAAGGAGGAAGATGTTACAAATAGTCCATAATAAAAGATTAACTGAGTTATTAATACCCATGGATACGTATGTTGCTTTGTGACTATAAAGATATATTTATCACATCAGTGTAGGAAATGTGCTCAGAGGTAGTTTAATTCTTTCTGGAGAACACTGAAGCAACTACCTAACCTCTACTACTTTCTTTATTTTGTGGGAAGTGCATTCTTCAGTTTGCTTCTATTAGCAACCAGAAGAAGAGGCAGAATTCGCCAAAAAAGTAAGAGAGAGAGAAAAAACCTTGTTCCCTTACTGAGAAAATTACACTTGTAAATCACAGAATTAAAATTTGAAAAAAAAGCAGCTGATTGGGTAAATACTTCCTGCCGACAGTGTTAATGTCTATAAAGCAGAGTTAAAGAAAAAATTGCATTAGCCCAGAAAGCCCTGATTTTCAGAAGAATGGGTGATTGTCTCAATCTGCTTAGTTGTTCATATTGCTTTTATGGGTGTTATCAAGGCCGCAATTGAATAGGGCTGTGGGAAATTTGGAGCAATTTCACAGAAGAGCACAAAAGACAAAGCCTTAGAGAAGAATGTCCATATGACATAAAGGGGTTAAATGGAGACTTGTCAGTCTGGAGAAGAGAATGCTGACAACTGATTATGAAGAATAGGTGCACAAAGAGAGTGATGTGCAAATGTGTCCATTTTCTTCAAGGTTAGAACAAACACATCAACAAAAGTAGACTTAAACTGTGGCGTATGAGCTTTATAAGGTTTACGTGGAAAGTTCCCGTCACTAATGAGTGGCCATTTTTCTTCCTTGGTGCTACAGATAGGATGGGTTCTCCTCAAACTGAAATGGTTTCATTAGAAAGCACCCCAAAACAAAGGAAAGGACTGGGTGACCCCCACCAATATGATGAATGCTCTTGGTGTTAACTAAATGAATAATCCTTGAACAGGAAAATTGTGTCTATTTTAGGGCCCTGGGTGCTGTTTTATCTGTGAACCTGAGGGCCATGTGGTTGGGTAAATAATAACAGTGTTCTTTGTCACACATTAATCCTCAGCTGTGAGGATCTTTGCCCCCCTGGCAAACATGGTCCGCAGTGCGAGCAGAGGTGCCCCTGCCAGAATGGAGGAGTGTGTCATCATGTCACCGGAGAGTGCTCTTGCCCATCTGGCTGGATGGTAAGCGTCCCTCCCACCCCTGCCCCCATCCCTCAAATCGCTCCTTCCAGGATGCTCAAGTGAGCATGCATGTGGAGGACTGTAGCACAAAAGAAAGTCATAAAGATGGTTAAAGATCCCAAAATTGGAAATAGATTTTGAAGCTAAAATCCTTTAGTCCAGAGAAGGCAGAGGGTGATTTAATCCTGGACTAGAAATGCACTAAGGGTCCTCATGGAAAAGGTAGTGGTCATCTGTCCTGCATTTTCCCTTAGGAAATCACACATGACAGCCAGAACTGATAAACACTGGAATTATTTCATAATCATTTTCTTACTTATGCTCCATGAACCACTATTGTTCTTTGAGAACATTATTCTCAGCAGAGTGTTACATGAAAAAAAGTGATATGGTTATATAAATCTGGAGACACATTGAGATAAACCAAGTTTACCAAAGATTGCCGAACTTCTCAGAGCCTTTAGTGTGATAATCCAAGAGGAAGCTATAACTCACCACACTTCCCAAACTTTGACCATTATACCCTTTCTTCATGTAGCAATTTCACAGGCTTAGTGTCACATGAAATACAAGATGTCAAAGCTGGTTGACCAATTAGACTTATCTGAAATCAGGAAATAATATTGGTTCTTATCTCTCTAAGTTGGTTTGTGCATATGTCTGCTTGAAGGCAGAAGAGTGAATGACCAATGTCTGTTTCCTTCATTAACAAACTACTTAAAAGAGCAATTTACTTCATTATCACCTTCTATCTCCTTGAGCCATACTGAAGCTGTTCTTGCGGAGGTTTTTAATTGCCACATCCACTGGTAACTCTTCTGTTCTCGTTCTGCTTCACCTCTCCAGAGCTTTGACTCTGTTGATCACCCACCTCCCTTCCTTAATCTCCTTGCTCTCCACTTCTCTAATAACCCTCTCTCTTACCGCTCTCGCTGAAGCTGTCCTTGCCTAGTCCGCCTTCTTCTGCATACCGCTCCATGGCAGTAATTCCTAGGTTTCAATCTTATCCTTCTTCTCTTTTCTCACTATAAATCCTCTCTGGAAACCTCATGTAGACCCATAGCTTTAAGAATCACCTGCTGATTTTTCCAAATCTTGATCTTACCTAACCTGAGACTAGATGTGTATTTGTCACCATCCTGTTAGACACTACAACCTTGATAACCTATAAACAGGAAGCCACCATCTGTCTGGGCTGGAGTGTCCACATCCAGACGTGGGGGTAGAATTGGTCTGGTGTTGTCTTTTACTGTGGGCATAGAACAGAGGAGAACTGGAATCCACTTCCCAATGAGGGTCTTGGGAAGTAAGGGAGAGTTTAAGACCACAGGGAAAGTATACCACAAATCTCAGACCAAGGTGCAGGTCAGAAATGATGAGTAGGCCAGAAAAAGTTAGATTCTAGAGGGAAGTGTGGAGAAATTCCATGAGGCAGTGGAGTCAGAGGGAGAGGGCCTTTTACTGAGAGCCTCAGAATGAGGAAGACAAGGGAGCTATCGAAGGAGTCAATGTTAATAAAACCAAACTTGCACACCCAGGCCTTTCTTGAGCATTACTCCCCTTCTATTTTTAGATTTTTTTTTTTTTTAAATCATGGTAAAAATGAACACTTTTCTCATTTGCCCAAGGTAAAAATGTTGGGTTCTCTTTGATTACTTCTCTTCTTTCATTCCCTGTATTCGATCTTTTGCTGACACTAGTCCTTGCTTGGCCTTTGGCGAGGGAAGGATTTGCTGGAGAGATGGAGTGTCTGGACAGCCCTGTGTCTTTGGATGAGCAACTGTAGGCGTTCTACTCCCAGAACTTCTATGTAAATGTTATCTGTGGAGTTGCCTTGTCTGGAGGTTGAAATTTTCTCAGTTAGGGTGGTCCCGATGTGGGTGTGTGGTAACCACAGGCTTGGACCATGAGTCTCATAGGTGGACAGATGGACCCTTTC